AAACTTGCACTTGTCAAATGTTTTTAATTTTTTGAATTAGCATACTGAGTAATGAGATCTATTTCCATACATTTTGTTGATCCTCTTTCCTTCCCAGCACCTCTCCCCAACACCACTGACTCCCTTCTCCCCTTAGTAACCCCTTTCTGCTTTCATTCTACTAACCTCATCCTACCCTCACATTAAGACCTCTTTTGTCTCCTTTCATGGTCTCCTTTCTAGTGTCATGAACACGCGCACACGCACACTCACACACATTGATATAAACTACTGTCTGGGATCTGTGTAAGAGACGAAATGTGCCATTCCGCAGTGGCTTCGCCCTCGGGCACCCAGACACTGCTGCATACCTTCCTACTGGGAGGAAAGACTCTAACCTGGGTAAGGAGGTTATAAGGGCGGGTAAGCTCGGGGAGAAACAGCCATCTCCAAGACGGTTTCCGTGCAACAGCGCTCCTTTCTTGGGGGGAATAAGGGCTATATAAACCTTGGGGAGGTGGGTTGGGGTCTTCGGGGTGAACGCACATCATTGGCTGGGGTTGAGATGCTGGGAATGCTTCATTTGCATGAAGAGGAATTCCGGGTGCTAGCTGGATGCCCTTATGAGGAAACAGAAAGTTATAACCTGAAACCCGGCCACCAGGCTGTGACTACCTCAAGGGTAGCAGAGGCGGGGGTCACAAGGCTAAGCATACCAGGGCCTGCAGGCCCACAGCACGGTCCTCAGCCCCACTCTTGCTCTGGCCGGCTCCCTAGTTGCATGGCCTACCTGATCCACAGAAATGCGTCATTTTTCTGAGATTGGGTTATATCACTCTAATAATTCCCGGCCCCGTCAACTTTCCTCCACCATCATGGTTTGGCTTTTCTTGGGAGCTGAATAAAATTCCATTGTGTACATTTATTTAATCCATTCATGTGGTGGACATTTAAAATGATTCCATTTCCTAGCTATGTGAACAGTTGCATAAGCAAGAACTATCTGAAAAGTTACCAATTATATAAGAAATAAACATAAGAATTGACAAATGTGATCACATGAAGTAAAAGAGCTGTGCAACAAAGGAAATTATCAACAGAGAAAAGAAACAGCCTACAGAATGGGGCGTCTTTGCCAACTACGCTTCAGGGGGCTAATGTACAGAATAAATACCCCCAATCAATAAATGGGCTAATGAAGGGCTGGAGAGATGGCTCAGAGGTTAAGAGCACTGGCTGCTCTTCCAGAGGTCCTGAGTTCAATTCCCAGCAACCACATGGTGGCTTTCAACCATCTGTAATGGAATCTGATTCCCTCTTCTGCTGTGCATGAAACAGTGTTCATATACATAAAATAAATAAATATTCAAAAAAAGAAAAAGAAAACCACACTTAATAAAAAAAAATGGGCTAATGAACTGAGCAAGACAGTCCTCAAATTGCCAATAAATATTTTGAAAGTGGTTATTCTTATCCATCAAAGAAACACAAAAATACTTCAGATTCTATTTAGAATGACTAGCATAAAGAAAACAAGTGCCAGCAGGGTGCAGTGGCACTTGCCTGAAATCAGTACCAGCACTCTGGGAGGCAGGCAGATATCTGTGAGTTCAAGGCCAGCCTGGTCTACAAAGGACAGCCAAGGCTACACAGAGAAACCCTGTATCAACATCCCCCCTCCAAAGGGGGGGGGGTGGAGAACAAGTGCTAACAACACATTGATGAGGGTAGAAAAGGAAATCAGTCAAGTTTCTCAAAAAGCTAAAAATAGAAAGGGAATGGGTAAGGGGGTGAAAATCAATCGTCACCCCAGTCCTGAGTTTGGAGGGAAAGAAAAGACCTCTGCAAGTTGCTCTCTGACCTCCACATGTGCACCAGGACGCATGTGTGCCCACATCCATGTTTTTCTTTTCATTGACAACAGGGTTAGTGCGAACGACTCAAACGACAGGTAAAGGTGCCTGCTGCCAAGCCTACTGACATGAACTCAGTCATGGCACTATGCAGTAAGAAAGGAGAACTGCTTCTCCAAGTTCTCCGACCGCCACACGCTCACTGTGGCATGCATGTCTACACACACACAGACACACACACAGACACACAGACACACACACACACTTTGTTAAAACTTTTTAAATAGGGTCTCACTGGCTGGCCTAGAGCTTGCTATGCAGACTAGGCTGACCTTGAACTCCAGGGACACACCTTTTCTGTTTCCAATGTAATGCATTTCTATAAGAATTCTGCCACACAGTTATATTTTACTGGCACTCTTCCCAAGAAAATTGCTAATTTCCCAAGAAAAGTGCTAATAAATTCAAAATGGCTAATAATCATTTTCTTTTTTTCTACAACTCTTAGGAGTACAAATCTCAGGGCATTTCAATGCAGATTTTTTTTTTTTTTTTAAGATTTATTTATTGTGTTTACAGTGTTCTACCTGCATGTATGCCTACAGGCCAAAAGAGGGTACCAGATCTCATTATAGATGGTTGTGAGCCACCATGTGGTTGCTGGGAATTGAACTCAGGACCTTTGGAAGAGCAGATCTTAACCACTGAGCCATCTCTCCAGCCCTCTCAATACAGATTCGTCATTCATAGGTAAGAAAAGGAAAACAATAATCTAATTTATTTCAAGTTTGCGTATGTTCATTCATTCATCTATTCAAATTTGTGCGTTTTATGACATTTGCTGAATGCCTCTCATGTTCCAGAAAGTATGCTTGACAGACATGGGAAACAATGAGTTTAAAAAAAAAAGAAAAAAGAAATCAAGTTCCTGTTCTTGGGGATTTTGCATTCAACAACCAATTAGTGAGTAAACCCAAAATTGAGATATTTACCATGTAAAGTTACGAAAATCAAATACAATTCTACATTCAAAGTGATTAGATATTAATACACAGTCACACAGCAAACAGTAAGTGCTAGGTATTTTTAGTGTTTTTGGGTATGAACCAAATTAGCTTTTGTGGCTTTACAGATGTATTTGTGGAATACAGATGTATTCCACCAGCTATTTCTTAAACTTAGAGAGGAAGATGGGTACCTACACTACTGTACTGCCAAGTGCCAAGAGGAGCTTGACAGTTAGGAGCAAAGTCACTCAATGCTCAGGAAGGCCTCGTCTACACTCTGCTTTGGGGGAACAATGTTTGCCATGTGATGCAGTAGTTACTGCAACTAGAGTAAAGGATGAAATTTAGGATGAAATGGATGGGAAGTTGAGTCGAAGGCTGTCTTCAGAAAGGACAAAGGCCTAATTATTAATAGAGGGTCCACAATTCTCTCATGATTCCACTTATACAGATCAAACATTTAGGCTTCCTAGTGCACTTGTGGGAATGCCGTAATCGGTGCAGATCTAGGCTGACTCCATAAGCCTCTGTGGACTCAATCTTCTGACCACAGTCTGTGCTATTACCACATTTTTTTCTATTATGCTTTTGTTGAGTGTCTCCATTTGACCCCTCCTACATCAGGATGCATTTTTCTTTTTTACCTTTCCAAGTGAGTCACTGCATGTCCCCTGTAATGTCTGGCCCACAATCAAGCTCTTCCTTGATGCTGGGGCTTTTGAAAATCTATCGTATTTTTCAAAATACTGATGAAAGTTATGGCTTCTCAACTTTGCTGATGTAAGTAGACTTCTTTTTAATTTTTATTTTGTGTGTACATGTTTTGAATGCATATATGCATGTCACCGCATGCATATTTGGTGCTGGAAGAAGGCAACAGATCCCCTGGCACTGGAGTTACAGCTGTGAGCCACCATGTGGGTACTGAGAATTGAAGGTCCCTCTGGGAGGTCAGCCAATGTTCTTAACCACTGAGCCATCCCTCTAGCTCTGATTTTGTTGTTTTTGAGACAGGCTCTCACTATGCAGCCCTGGTTATAGTGGAACTCAGAGGTCCACCTGCCCAGACTATTGTTCTCTTATTCCCATACATCTTCCCCACATTCCTGCTTGTACTATCATTAATTTACTGTTATTATCATTGTTGTCTTTGAGACAAGATCTCACTCTGTATGCTATGGCATTATGCACACCTGGCTGGACTCACTTATAGTAATCCTTCAGCCTTGCTCTCCGCTGAGATTATAAATATGAACCATGACAACTAGTTCTGCTAGGACTATCACAACACTTCAGTATCTCTCCAGAAGTACATTTCTCTCGTTACAGGCTTGCTTTCATTAGTTATAGGTCTAGAAACAAACAGGGATGGTTGGTAATATTGGGTCCTGGAGAAAAGCAGCATTATCTTACATGGCAACTATCTCTGGGGAGAACATTACTATCTCAGGATGTCACCTCCCTCTAGGGACCGGGAGGTCACTTCTGCAAGCAAGGAAGACAGCATTTGAAGAGCTCAACGTCGCAGTCTCTTCAAGGCCTTTCGTCTAGCTAACAAGTGGAGGGTTTGAAGGTAGGGCAGTAAGCAGTGCTTACGGAAGACAAAGCAGGACGAGGGAAAGCTTTTGTATCCCATACCAACAGTTTGGCCGTTTTCAAGGTTCCGTCATTTTCCCTACCAATCACACCGTATTTGCCTTTTAAGAGCCTGCCGAGGTATAAACACCTAGCATCGTCCCTGCTGCTTAATACCGTACCCAAACGAAGCCACAATAATCGACGGAACCTTGCAGAACGGTGCAACGTATCTCTATCTTCCTAAACGGCAAACACAAGATGGCGGACAAAGCACGAAAGACAAGATCTGGCTAACAGCGCATGGCCGACGCCCAGCCTCCTAGAGGAAATCGCACAAGACGCGGCCTCTTCCGCACGATTGGCTCGACGTCCGGTCTTTTCCCTTTGCTATTGGCTACGGGCCCCTTCTCAAGCCAAAACAGCGGCGAACAAAGCCCACCCTTCCGTGCATGGGGCGGAGCGTCCGCCAGGCCGCCGGGGCTGAGGGCGCATGCGCAGGCGCAGCGCGCCGGTTACGGGCGCCCGTCCTCCGGAGGCGGCGCCGCGGCTCATGAATATTGATGACGCACCGCGGCGCCGTACGCCCGCCCCGCTACCCCGCCGAGGCTCGCCGCTCGCGCTCGGGCTCGTGATGGGGAAGAAGTCCCGGGCGGTACCCGGCCGGAGGCCGATCCTGCAGCTCTCCCCGCCGGGCCCTCGGAGCAGCACCCCGGGCCGGGATCCCGACCCCGATCCGGATCCCGAGGCCGACTCGACGGCGGCGGCGGCTAGCCAGCCAGCCCCGGCGGCCGCGACGTCGCCCGCGGTGCCTGCCAGCGCTGCCCCGGAGGACTCGCCTTCAGAAGGTAGGGCAGGGCGCGCGGGGCCCTGCCTCTGTTGGGGGCGTCCGGAACCGGGGCACGGGGCGTGCGGCCTAGGCCCCCGGTGAGGGCAGGTAACCCTGGCGGGCGAGGGGCGCCTCGGCCGCCTGCGACCTGGGGCCCTCGGGACGTGGTGGGCCGTGGGCTCTGGGCGGCGGAAGGCCCGGCCCGGACTCTTCTGAGGCGCCATTGCGGGTGCAGGGAGTTCCCCCGGGAACCTGTGCAATCCCCCGAGGCCTGGGGCCCCCGTGTGTCTCCCCGATGACCCCTGCGATCCTAATTACGCGGAAGGTGGAGGGCAATTTCCACGTGCGAGCCCTGCGACGGTTGAATCTGTACGTGTCACCCACTTGGTTTCGCTTTTGTGGAAACCGAAGCAGCCGCTCTTTAGAAGTGAACACCTCCCCCCCTCCCCTTTTTTTTTTCTTTATGCCGGACAAAGTATCGGTATCCCCAGGCTTATGGGAGAGTGACAGAACCTGTGGGATTTCCTGGAACTGTACATGGCCTAAGAGTTATCAGTTGCTGTGTGGGATACATGGCGGAGGAGCAGGATCATATTATGTGTTAAGCGATCACGTTAATAGGACGTACAGAATGTGTGGAAACCTGCAGGTTTATTTATGCATACTAATCGTTCAGTATTGCGGATGCTGTTTTCATAGTGTTCACATTCTTACTGTCGATGTCACTGAATGGAAGATTCTAGATCAGCTTGTTTTTCACACCCCCCCCCAACCCGACTCCCAGTTTGCATCAGTGATACACACTGTTGAAATCCAGGCCTGAAAGGTGAAGTTTTGATTTTTGCCTTTCGTGTTGTCCCTGGCCCACCAACTGACTGCAGTTTCCTTTTGTTTATTTCAAATACAGATGAACAGGAAGTGGTGGTGGAGGTTCCCAAGGTTGTTCAGAACCCTCCCAAACCAGTCATGACCACCAGACCCACAGCCGTCAAGGCAACAGGTATAGATTTTTGTTGTTCTTTTACCTCTTCTCTGAAATGTCTTTCATTAAGTTAAAATTGAGTTTGTACCTGGCTTATCAGTGGCATGGTTAAGTGTTGCTAAATTTATTATTTCTCATAAAAAGTAATTGAAGTTTTTCTGGGATTGGGGTTGTATATCAGTGATAAGAGTTTTTGCTTAGCAGATGCAAGGTTCTGGGCTCCAGTCCCGGCTTACACAAAACAGATAACAAAAAAAACTTTTTAAGGGTTTGCTGTGTACAAACTTTAAGTAACTAAATTATGTGTTTTTGGTTCCTTTATTTACTGCTATGCCAAGTCCCTTGTGTGTGTCGGTGTGTCCCTGTCTGTGTTCATCCACACACTCAGACACACAAGTTTGTGTGCTGCTAGGGCTGCACCACCTAACTTGTTTATCTGTTTTTGAGTCAGACTGTCTCAAGTGAACCCGAACCTTAGATGACCTCAGCAGTGAGCCCCTCCCCCAGTCTATCTGTCTTGAACCACTCTGCTTCACCCCAGCACTTGGTTAAAGAGGAGTGCCTCGTACTCAGCCAAAACATGGGTACACTGGGTCTGAATGCAAGTCCTTAAGCAGCTTACAAACTCAGCCATTACCCAATAGAGTTCTGTTTTATTTTTTTTGGCCTTTTGGTATTCTTTAGGAGAACCTTACTTTTTATTTATTTATTTATCTATCTATTTATTTATTTGTATTCCTTCTCCAGTGACTCATGATCCAGGCTGGCCTAGAACCTTCTTTATAGCTGAGGTTGGCCCTTTAACTATTGGTAACCCCTGCCTTTACCTCCCAAGTACTATGATTACAAGTGTGTTCCACCACCCACAGCCCTTTTAACACACTGCCTGGTTGTCCTCAACTATTTGTGACGCTGAAAATTCCCCTTTAAGTATTCCCCACCCTATATAGTTTTTGAATTGCACTCTGCTGTAATCTTTGCAGCAGTGGTTTTCTTGGCAAACCTGAGTTCAAGTCATCACTCTTAATTTTCACTCTTAAGACTTTAGGACAGTTACTGGGCTGAAACTTACTCATCTAAAAATGGATCTACTATAGTCCTAAGTTTTTTAGAGGATTAAATTTTACATGTATGTTTTAAAAATTATATATGCACACACAGAAAATTTTGATCTTGGAAAAAGCAAGTTTTTTTTTTTTCCTGCATTTTGTGTGTATTGAAGATAAAGTTTGTTTTTAGACAGGGTTTCTCCATGTAGTCCTGGCTCTTTGTCGACCAGGCTGGCCTCAACCTCACAGAGATCCACCTGCCCCTGCCTCCCAGAGTGCTGGGATCCCAGGCGTTCGCCACTGTACCCAGCTGAAGATTAAAATATTTGAAGGTTTATTTCCTTTTGACATTTTCTATTTTTATTTATAGGTATGTGTCCATGTGGGTGTGTGCTGTGTGTGAAAGTCCGAGGCAGCTACAAGAGGATATTAGATCCCATGAACCTGGAGATACAGGTGGTTGTGAGCTGCCAACATGGGTGCTAAGAACCAAACAGAGCTCTGAGCCTCTGGAAGAACAGCCATCTGTCAAGCACAGATCACAATATTTTAATATTTTATAATTATAGTGACTTTAGTCTAAAATATTTGTTTGAGAGTTTGTCTCTCTTTTGTTATTTTAGAGATACAGTTTCTCTGTGTAGTCTTGGCTGCCCTGGACTCACTTTGTAGACCAGGCTGGCCTCAAGCTCAGAGATCTGCCTCCCAGGTGCTGGGATTACAGGTGTATGCCACTGAGTCTGGCTCCACTTTGGCAGCCCTAACTGGCCTCAAACAAGGTTTCTGCCAGTTTTTGCCTCCTCTGTATTAGGATTAGAGGCTACTATGCCCAGCCCAGTTAAATTTGTCTTAATAAGGTACTTTAGTTCACTCAACTTTCCACTTGAGGGATAATCATTAATTGCATTCTAGCTGCTCTACTTTGATTGGCTTAGGTGTTTAGGATGTGATAATTTTTGAGACAGGGCTACCGTTTGTAGTTCAGACTGGCCTAGAAGTCACTAGTAGTCCGTCCTTGACAGCAAAGTACAACCCTTTAGCCTCCTAAGTGGCAGCATAACAGACATGCAGTGCCCAGCTTGAATAGATGTTTCATCACCAGCTGTGGTTATTTTTGAGAAAGTGGGGCTCAGTGGTCCATCGTATGCTTTGGGAGAGGATATCAAGTATATGTAGATTGATTGTATTATCTTGAAGGATTTGGTGGGGTAGAAACAGGGTCACATTGTGTCTCTCTGGCTGGCCTGGAACTTGTTATGTAGTCCAGGCTAACTACATAAGACTGACTCCCAAGAACCATGTGCTTGGGGCTAGAGGGATGGCTGGGTGAGTAAGAACATTGGCTGCTCTTTGAGAGGATTGGGATTTGATTCCCAGTACCCATAAAGGGCCTCAAAACAGTTTGACACTCTAGTTCCAGGGGATCTATTGCTCTCTTCTGGTTCCTGAGGCCCAGGCATGCATGTAACTCATGGACGTGCATGCAGCCAAAATACTTGTACGCATAATAAAATGATTTTTAAAGATTAAAAAAAAAAGCCCATCAAAAGCTCTGTCTGCTCTTCCAAGGGTTCTGAGTTCAAATTTCTAGCAACCATGTGGTGGCTTACAACCATCTCTACCCTCTAGTGCCCTCTTCTGGCCTACAGGTGTACATGCAGATAGAGCATTCAAGATAAATGAATAAAATCTTGGGAAAAAAACCAAAACACCAAAACCATGTCGTTTGCCAAGGGATGTACCTTAGCAAAGGCATAAGGATCTGAGTTGGAATCCCTCTGTGTAAGTTGGGTGGGTACATCAGCCTATAATCCCAGTGAGGGAGTCTATAGAATCTGTAGAGTAAGCTGGATAACCAAACTAGCTAAAACAGCAAGCTCCAGGTTTAGCAAGAAACACCCCAGCCCCTGCTTAAGGGCCTCCGTGCACGTGTGTGTGTGTGTGTGTGTGTATGTGTGTGTGTGTGTGTGTATCAGAATGTACATGTGCGCCCGAACATACACATGTGCACACCGCACCTAATCGATAAAGCAGAAAAGTATGTGGTCTTTTCTAAGTGTTCTTAAGTGCTAATCCAGCTCTCTAGCTGTTGTCTCTTTTCTTCGTTACTTCCTAGAGTATATTGGTAATTTCGTTTTGTTTCTAGGAGGCCTGTGCTTGCTTGGTGCTTATGCTGACAGTGATGATGATGAGAGTGATGTTTCTGAAAAAACTGCACAGTCCAAAGAGCCAAATGGAAACCAGTCAGCTGACATTGATAGTACCCTGGCCAACTTCCTAGCGGTTAGTGATGCTTTTGTTTGCATGTCTGTTTGTTTTGAGATAGTATATTTGTAGCCCTGGCTGGCCTGTATTTACATAGTCCAAGCTAGTCTTGAAAACTTGAAGCTGTCTTCTGCTTCCCAAGGGCTAGGATTTCACGTTTGAGCACCGTGCCCAATCATTTATTGCTGATTTCATTCCATAGGAGATTGATGCTATCACAGCACCTCAGCCTGCAGCTCCTGTGGTAGCTTCTGCTCCACCTCCAACTCCACCTCGACCAGAACCAAAGGAGGCAGCAACACCTGCTGTTCCTTCCGCTTCATCAAATGGGACAGATTCAGCCCAGACAACAGGGTGGCATTATGATACTCAGTGTTCACTTGCAGGAGGTAAGTGTGGTCCCTGTTTCAAGAACACTTGCAAATAATCCTCAGTGGTTTGTTATGCATTGGCCTTCCTCAGTGTGAAGCTTTAGCTCTAGTATTGAGACTTCTGGCCTTTTAAATGTAGTATTTGGAAGCTGTTCATAGAGTGATGATTTTAACTGTACCAGATTGTGCCAGGTGAATGATAAAAACTATTGTTGTGAAAGTTTTAGGGGGTTTCAAGGGGGTTTCAAAATACTTTTTTTTTTTTTTTTTTTTTTAGTATCAGCCTGCTTTACAAACAAAGGTGTTAGACCAGAGTTCTTTTGGTATGGAGGAGTTGTTCACAGGGAATATTTTTTGGATGTTTCTAAACACTGCAACACAGATTTGCAAACCCTGTGTTATGTTGTCATTGTTTTACAACTGTGTTGGGATAGAAGTCAGGACCACATAGAGTTTATACTTAAGATGCTTTGTTTTCTTACAGTTGAAATTGAGATGGGAGACTGGCAAGAAGTCTGGGATGAGAACACAGGTTGCTATTATTATTGGAACACACAAACAAATGAAGTGACTTGGGAGTTACCCCAATATCTTGCCACACAGGTGCAGGGATTACAACATTACCAGCCCAGGTAAGGCCAGACCTGAAGAAGAAATTATGTAGGAAAAAAATGAAGAGAAAATAGATGCTGTGGGTAATTACCTTTTGTTTTTCTTGACTCCCTGTCCCCAGTTCTGTAGCAGTTACTGAAGCTGGTTTTGTGGTAAATACAGACATATATACGAAGGAGAAAATGATTCCTGTTTCCAGTAATAAAAGTGGACCGGCCACCACCAAACGAGAAGTTAAAAAGGTTAGTATTGCATAACTTACCGTATTTGCTTGTTTTCTAGTCATGAAAGGCTGGATAGGATAGTATTTCCCAACACGTGTTCTTAGTTTTATCTAGTTTGTTTCTGTGTCTTACACAACATTTATAGGAGTCATTTTGTAGTGATTCAGAGTTTTAGAGTTCCATGAAAACTACTTAAGCCATCTACCGGGACATGAGCAGCTGTACTGTACACTATATTGATAAATTGTTGTGTGCTGCTTGAGCTTTTTGAGATGCTGCTCAGGAGTTGGGTTCCCGCCCCATTTCAGAGCAGTGAGTTAAAGTCCTATGTGTTCGGGAGCAGGCTGGTATCCTAATTGTAACAGTGAAAAGGAAAAACAGGCAGCTAAGGCTATTAAAAACATGAGTCAGAGGCCTGGAGAGATGGCTCAGAGGGTAAGAGCCCTGGCTGTTTTTCCAAAGGCCCTGAGTTCCAATTCCCAGCAACCACATGTGTCTCATAACCATCTATAATGAGATCTGGTGCCCTCTTGCCTGCAGGTGTACATGCAGTCAGAACATTGTATACAAAACAAATAAATATCTTTTTAAAAGAAAGCAATATGAGTTAGTCCTTAAGAACTACCAGAAGGTAAACTATTTCAAGCAGCGGTTTACTTCTTCATTAAAAAGAAAGAGAGAGAGAGAGAGAGAGAGAGAGAGAGAGAGAAAGAAAGAAAGAAAGAAAGAAAAAGAAAGAAGAACCAACCAACCTGCAGTGGGAACAGGAGATTGGAAATTCAGTCATGGAACGCTCAGCCATGGAGAGAAGACTCAATTGGGAACTCCTGCTGACTGTCTCAGTTTCCCCGTAGTTTGTGCTTGATCTAGCAGTTCTCAACCTGTGGGATCCAACTTTTTTGGGTGTTGCATATCAGATATTTATTTACGTTACAATTTATAACAGTGGCAAAATTACAGTCAGGAAGTAGCGACAAAATAATCTTATGTTTGGGTGTCATCATAACATAAGGAACTGTATTAAAGTGTCACAGTGTTAGGAAGCTTGGGAATCACTGTACTAGGTAGTTGTAAGCCTCTGATTTGATGATGGTAACTCAGTTTGCTCTTAGGGTACTCCAGTTAGCTCTGCTGGATGTTGTAAACTTTTTGATTTGTTATCTATTGGATACTTTTGTTTTACTTGCTATTCTTCTTTTACTTGTTTATACACTTAGCAAACTTACTGATTAGAAGCTGAAAGCATGGCTATTGTAGAGTATTCTACAGAATGTATCAGCAGTGACAAGATCTCAGACTCGAATCCTTACTTGAGACAAGTCATCTTCTCATTTTCGGTTTCCTTTTAAGAACCACTCGCCACCACCCAGGACATGTATATCTGACTTAACTACCTTAAGTCAGGTGTGGCAAACACCTGTGATCCCAGCATGCAGGTGGTAGAGGCAGGAAGATCTTAAGTATAGGCAAGCCTGAGTTAGATAGCAAGTCGTGTGTGTGCGCGTGTGTGTGTTGCTTTCTTTAAGAATTAAAGCTGGCGGCTGGAAAAAGCCCAACAAGCAACCCATACTGCTCTTCCTGATGAGCAGCGCCTACACTGAGGCTCCTGAGCGCCTGCAGTCCAGCTCTGGGAGAGTCCGACTCCTGGCCTCTCTGGGCACCTGTGTTCATGTACACCCACAAACAATTAAAAACAAAATTTAAGAAAGACTATGAACTGCTTCAGCTTATGTAGCCCTTATCCAAAATGTTTTAGATTTGAGATTTTGGATTCTGGAGTTGTTGAATGTATAGAGACATATCTTGTGGATAGGTTTAAAGTCAGAACATAAAAATTCATTTATAATTCTTCATATACACATAGCCTGAAGGTAATTTCATATACTTTTATTATTTTTCTTTTTTGAGACAGGGTTTCTCTGTAGCCTTGACTCTCATGGACTTACTTTGTAGACCAGGCTGGCCTCGAACTCAGAGGTCACCTGCCTCCCTGAATGCTGGGATTACAGGCCTGCGTCATGTACTTACTTATTGGGGCTTAGAACAGTTGCCAGAGTGGAAGTCTGTGACATTGGGGATGTCTGATATTCTAATAGTTCTCTTCTACCATATGGGCTCTGGTCAGATTCAGTCATCAGACTTGTTTGGGTTTTTGAAACAGAGTCTCACTTTGCAGTCTTGTCTGGCTTAGAACTCACTAGTAAACCACACCCAGCTGGTCAAACTTTTTGGCAAGTGCCTTTATTTATTGATACCTTTCTCACAGGCCTTCATATGATAGATTTGTATTTAAACATTTTTACTGATTTATATGAGACAGGATTGCACTATGTAGACCAGGCTAGTGTCAAACTCATGAGGATTTCCGCTGCCTTTGCTTCACGATGCTGGGGTTAAAGGAGTGCTCCACTACACTGACATTTCTTACTGCAGCCCCACACGTGGAGGAATCATGGTACCCTAGCACTCAAAGCTGCTTTGATGTAATTTTTGATTTTTTATTAGAGCTATTCAATTCATACTAGTAAAAGACAATTGTGAATGTGTATTGAATTACAACTTATCTTGATATTCAGAGTAACCACCTCCATCTCTACCCTACAGCAGTACTTAGGATCCTGTTAGGCCTGTTAAGCAAGAGCTGTGCTGCTAAGTCGTATCTCTAATCCCCAAAGTACAAACTTGAAAGATAGTCTTTGCTATATGCCAAATTTGAGACCACCTGGGCTACATGAGCTCTACCCTCCCCATCCCCCCCCCTTGTATTTTTGTCATCTTTACATTCCTAGAAAGGTTTAGTGTTCTGATAGATGAAATAATTTCTCTGTGTAACAGAGCAGCTCTGACTGTCCTGGAGCTTGCTCTGTAGACCAGGCTGACCTCAAACTCACAGATGCACCTGCCTCTGCCTCCCAAGTGCTGGGATTAAAGATGTGCACCACCATCACCTCACCACTTTAAATATATTAATCAAACTTTTTGTTTTTTTGAGACAGGGTTTTTCTCTGTGTAGCTTTGGCTGTGCTGTCCTGGGCTCGCTTTGTAAATCAAGTTTGGCTCGAACTCGGAGATATGCCTGCCTCTGCCTCCCTGAATGCTGGGATTATAGGTCTGTGCCACTGAGCCCCGCTTTAATCAAGCGTTTTTTGCTTTGTTTTTTGAGATTCAGGCTGTCCTCAAACTGTAGAGTTAGGACTGAGTTCTGAGGTCCTTAGCCTCCTGTCTCCCATATTGGATGCATTTAAGCATTTACCTTTATTTCCAGCATAGTCTCACATTTTATTTTCCTCCAAGTTCCCTTTGACAAAATGCTGCCTCTGCTTCCTACTAGCTTCCCTTTTGATATCCAGAGGAAGCAGTGTTAACATAAAGGTGTTTTATGAGTATCCAACAATTAAGAAGTTAATATAAATAATTGAATAATTTTCTTTTTGAAAGTTGTAACTCTGCTTTTATTCTTTATAGGAAGTGAATGAAGGAATCCAAGCTCTTTCCAACAGTGAGGAGGAGAGGAAAGGGGTGGCAGCAGCACTGCTTGCTCCCTTACTGCCTGAAGGGGTAAAAGAGGAGGAAGAAAGATGGAGGCGAAAAGTAATTTGTAAAGAAGCAGATCCGGTGTCAGAGACTAAGGAAACAATCACAGCAGCGGAGGAATCGGGGCCGGTCATAAAGCCCCCGGAAGTTACAATGGATAGCATAGAAGACCCTTCTCAGGAGGAACTTTGCAGCGTTGTTCAATCTGGAGAAAGTGAGGAGGAGGAAGAGGAGGAGCAAGACACCCTCGAGCTGGAGCTAGCTTTGGAAAGGAAAAAAGTAAGGTTTTGAAGATTTTATTTTATTTTTTTTAGTTAGTTACCGCTATCATGACAAAATGTCTGACAAAGATCTTAAGGAAGGGTTTCTTTTGGATGGAGGTGTGGCAGCAAGCATGGCTCTCCTTGGGGCTCTCCTTTGAGGATTGTGCCCATCAGAGTTGGGAAGTAAAGAGGAGTACTGCTGCATAGCTGGCTGCTTCGCCCCAGCTCGTGGCAGGGTGCTGCCCACATTTAAAGTGTTCTTCCCTTAGTTAAACTCCTCTTAAGCCCTTAGCAACAGCCAGAGGTGAGCGAGCCCCCTAGGTTCTTCCAAAGCCAGTCAAGTGGACAATGGTGATTAACCATCACAGATTTAAAGGACATAGCGCCCCTTATTACTGTTACACTCAGAGATTGTTACGTTCAATTTACAGCCATTATTGGAACTTTGCTTTTGCTCGTCTCTTAACCTGTTCTATTTTTTTAAATGCAGACTTGTTTGTGTGTGGTTTTGAGACAGGGTTTCTCTGTGTAACAGCCCTGGCTGTCCTGGAACTTATTCTGTACCAGGCTGGCCTTGAGCGCACAGCAATCTACCTGCCTCTGCCCCCTGAGTGCTGGCAAAGATGTGTGTCACCATACCTGGCTTATTTTTATTTTTTATGTGTAGAAGTATTTTGTGTAGAAGTATTGAGTGTCTGCAAAGGGAAGGGGAAAGTCACCCTGTCCCAGGAATTGCAGTTACAGATAATAGTGAACCGCCATGTGGGTGCTGGGAACTAAACCCAGGGCCTTTGCCAGAGTGACAGGTGCCCATAACTGCTGAGCCACCTCTCCGGTGTGCTTAGTTCTTCGTAAGCTTACGAATTACAGAATTGTTGTTTTGGTTTCCAACGGTGCTTTTGGTAGTTGTCAAACAATAAATACATCTCGTGAGAGGACAGAGGGATAAAATGAACTTAAAATTCCCTGTCTTTCTTTATTAAGGGGTAGAGGTGTGGTGGCTTCAAACCTGTGATCTTCCTGCCTCTGTCTTCTGAGTGTTGGGGTTGTATTACAAGCATGTTGTATCACACCCAATCCTTTTTTCGTTTTTTAAAGATTTTCTGACATTTCCCTTCTTTTGGGGTAGTCATCTGCTGCTGTCTTAAAAGGTTCAGTATGAATCAGGTCAGTAACAGGAACCTGTAGCCTTCTGTTTGGGGATTTGAATATAGGGGACACCTAATAAAACTTACCATTATGTGTGCATGTCAGGTGTGTTATGTTTGTGAATCTCTAGAACCTGCCCCTCCATCAAAATTTATTACTGTAATCATGGATGAACAGTTACTAAAAGCAGAAGAATATTGCACACAGAGCTAATGCTGAGCTGTGAAGGAAACTGGTTTCCCAGAAGTTACAACTCCCAAGAATAGCGCCATCCATCTTCTGTGTTATTCTCAGTACTCCCCGCAGATGAGTGCTAATGCAATGTTCACCTTTCAACACGTGCTTTCTAGGCAGAGTTACGAGCCTTGGAAGAAGGAGATGGCAGTGTGTCGGGGTCTAGTCCACGTTCTGACATCAGCCAGCCAGCATCTCAGGATGGGGTGCGTAGGCTTACGTCTAAAAGAGGAAAATGGAAGATGTTTGTGCGAGCTACCAGTCCAGAATCCACCAGCAGAAGTTCTAGTAAAACTGGACGAGAGACTCCTGAAAATGGAGAAACTGGTAATTTGTGCTTCCCATAAAACTTTCTCCCCTCCCCTCACTCTTGTGCTAGTAATTGAAGTAGGCAAGGAAGGCCCATTACCGCTGAGCTGTGTCCTTGGAGAATACGATTGTTTCTGTCTTTCAGTTATTTGTGTGTCTATGGTATCTGGGTGCATGTGTGCTGCGGTACATATCTGTAGATCAGAGGACAACTTTGAGGAGTTCTGTCCTACCTTTGCATGGCTTCTCAGGATTGATCTCAGGTCCTTATGCTTGGACAGTAAACTCCATTATCCGCTGAACCGTTCAGTAGCTCCTTTTTTATTGCCTGCTGCTAAATTTCTCTGCCTTGTGTGTGAGACCTATGAGTTCTCTTTACTGCCTCCAGGTGAACATAAATGATCTACCTCTGACCAGCTCAGTCTATCGCTTAGTACTGCTCTGTGTAAAAGTTATCCTCTTGTAGAGTGAATGTGTTTAATCCTAGCACTCAAGAGATACAAACAGGTTGATCTCTGTGAGTTCAAGGCCAAGTCTGGTCTACAGAGCAAGTTCTAGAGTAGCCAAGGCTACACAGAAAAACCTTGTGGGTAGACAGACAACTTGATTCTGTCATAGGGCCCAAGTTGACCCTAATTTTAGGAGTAAGATTTGAACTTTTACTATATTTAGTAGAAGACACTTCTTATGAGTTCTAGCTAAAATAGTACCAAACAATGTAAGTAAGAAATAAATGGATACATTCATATTTGAAGGGCACCCCTCAAGAAAAGTAATTAGTGCATGGTGGCACAGTTGCAATTCCAGCCCTTGGGAGACCCAAAGCAGAAAGATTACAAATTCAAATTAGCCTGGGACACATGATGAATTCCAGATAGTCTGTAAAATACAGCAGAACCCTGTCTCAAAGTAAGTGAATGGCTGGGGCTCGAGATGGCTGGTTAACAGCACTTGTTGCTCTTGCAGAAGACCCATGTTCAGTTTCTAGCACCCATGGGGTGCCTCACAGCCATCTGTTAATCCAGTTGTAAGAGATCAGGTGCCTTCTTCTGGCCTCTGGCTACTGGGTATGAACATGGTACACAGACATGAAGGCAAACCACTGATACATGTAAAGCAATAAAATAGAAAAACTTTTAAAAGTAAATAAACAGGGCTCAGTGAGATGGCACAGCAGATAAAAACACTTGCCCCTAAGGAAACAATCTTGATCCTTGTCCTCCAACCTCCACACATGCACCATGGCAAGTACATATCCCATACCCCACAATAACACAGCAGATAAAAGCACTTGTCCCTAAGGATAACAATCTGTGTTTGATTCTCAAGGAAGGAGGGTTGGGGGAGGGACAGAGGGAGAGTCCTAAAAGTTGTCCTGTGACCTCCACACATGCACCATGGCGCGTACACATCCCATACCCCACAATAAATAGGTCTAATTTTTTTTTTTTTTTAAGTAAACAGAGAGTCTGGAGTTGTGTGGTGGCAAAATTGTGTATTTTTGTCATGGAATTCTATGCAGCAGTGCAAAAATGAATGTACTGACAGGAATTTTTGGGACAGTAATGTTGAACAACAACAAAAAGACATGGAGATACACATAGAGCGCTGATTTGTACACATAAGTCAGAAAATAGAAAAAAAGTTTGTGTTTAATAGTCTGTCCCTGATGACACCATCAAAATAGAGGTAGGAAGGTGATAGATAGGAAGGTTGATGACAAGGTACAGAGATCCAAATTGTAGTTCTTTTGTTCTTTCCGTTTACACTGTATTATATATATTTGTCAAGGTGTTCAAAAGTATACAGTACTCTGCTAACATGCTATTATATGTATCTTTATGCACATTGTAGTGTTGGTATAGGAAGATTCTTAGTTATTCACTTCTTGAGAGTGTGTGTGTGTGTGTGTGTGTGTGTGTGTTTTGTATCTCACTTTATTTGAAAACAGTTTGGGGTTTTCTTGTTTGTTTTTGTTTTCTAAGACAGGGTTTCTCTGTATAATCCTAGCTTGCCTGGAACTCAAAGAGATCCGCCTACATCTGCCACCATGAATGCTGGGATTACAGTTGTGCGCCACTGAGCCTGGCTTTGAACATAAATTTCTAAGCATGAGTTTAGTATATAAATTTGGTTTCTTAAATATAGAATATAAAGATTTTCTTCATTAATCTTCTGTGTGAAAGGAATTACAGGACAAAAGGAAAACAGTTTCTGCACACAAGTATATTGTATATGTGGCGCTGGAAACAAATGGTGGCATGTCCTATGCATAAATTAGGACCAAGTGGTGATGTCATACATTAACGGGGGGTGTTCTAATCAGTCAGATTCAAGAAGCAGGCATGACACAGAATCTGCAAATAATACCAAGTCAAGCAATGTTAATTAGGATACTACAGGTTCCAAAGGGCAGCTTCTGAGATCATAGTGTGTATATGTACACAGCACGGAAGAGCCACTTAGAAGCTAGAATATGAAAGGTTTCACCAAATCAAAGTAACTTCTTGTCAACTGCCAGAACAAAACAATGAATGGGAACATGTGAGTGTTGGTGTACCCAGGGCATATTATATGTCAGTGCCTGCAGCTAACTATCTTTTTTTTTCCTTTGATTTTCGAGACAGGGTTTTGCTGTGTAGCCCTGGCTGTCATGGAACTCACTCTATAGACCAGGATGGCTGTGAACTCCCAGAGATCCCCCTGCTTCTGCCTTCTAAGTCCTGGGATTAAAAATGAACACCACCATGCCCAGTTAATTACAGATTTTTAATTGGTGCAGAAGTATCATTAATGGTCTTGTCCTTGTCCTTTTACTTGAGATGCAGTATAGCTCTTACCTATTTAATCCTATAAAAACATGTTAAGACAGTATTCATTTTGTGCCAGAGGATGACTAGTGGCATGGTTTATATAAACTGTTTTAGCTCTTGCTCTCTTTCCTTTATGACATTGTCGTCAAATATCCTATCATCTGTGAAAGGAAACTGTTTGCAAAAATGCTTTCCCAGGGATTGGGAGAGTACAACCTTGCCTCTTTCTAATTTATTTCAAAGTCAATTGTCTTCTAACTGTAGATTCTTTCAGCCGAGGATAGGAAGATTCGTCTTGACCCTCAGGTGGTGAAGTGGCCCTCCCCAGCCCCCACAGTCTGAGTTGCTCACACTAATTGAAGTTGCTGAGTGGCCTGGAGTCTTTACATTTTGCCGTCAGTTGTCACTGAGCCAGGTTTAGACTCTCTCTACCCTGTCTGCCTTCTGCCCAATGCCACAACATCCTGCCTTAGGGACTTAGTACTCACACTTGTATAACTTGATAAATCTTGCTTAATTGCCCTACAAAACCTTCAAGTCAGAATTACAGTGATGCTTAAAATTGATTTTGTACCTAACACTGTAACTTACAACAATCATATTTAGAACTCTTTTCTAGTGACAGATGAATCGTTAATGGTCTTGTCTGCTCACTAAATCTAGGCATGTTTTACTTTAGATGGGATATGGCTTTTATCTATTTAATCCTGTAAAAAACATATTAAGACAATATTCATTCTGTGCCAGAGGATGACCAAAGATAGTTTAAACCCCATGAATTAAGCCAAACCAAACAACTGAGGGCTCTAAAACATTTTATTCTTTATAGGAGACACCTGAAAAATAGTACTACTACTGTTTCGTGCCATCAGAGATGTGACAACTTGTCCACACATCCCCCAAAGGTGTCCTTTCTGAAAAGGTGACCATGAAATCACATGGTTGTTTTTGTTTTTACAGCAATTGGTGCTGAAAATTCGGAAAAAATCGATGAAAATTCAGACAAAGAGGCAGAAGTAGAAGAGCCTTCTGAGAAGATAAAAGTCCAGATAGCACCTAAAGCAGAAGAAGAGCAGGATCTGAAAGTACGGGTATTTGTCAGACCTAACCCTGGGGTGGTGGTGGAGGGCGGTAGGTCTTCATATTCATAGATGAGGCTGCTCTGAAACTCAGGATCCTCCTGCCTTGGTCTTCCAAGTGCCCGGATTATAGGTTCAGCCATTAAACTGTTACTAACTGCTGTTAGCAAATCATAAGCTTTACTTTATCCAAACCTAAGAGTTCCGCTTTGTTAAATAATTACTTTCTTTGAAATTAAGCCTTTGTTGAAAAGAATCTGCCAATATAGGCTTCTCTGATTTACAAGTACTAAAGATGCTAAAAGATTTAATTTTTATGTGAAATAAAATCAAATGATGATTTCTGTACCCCCTGTATCTGGTTGCAGTCCTTGTTCTGAGAGTCTCCTGTTTCAGTGTTGTGTAAACACTCCTCCCCAATTGTCCTCTGATGTACCAATAAAGCAGCTTACAGCCAGTCACTGAGCAGAGGAGAGAATAGGGCTGGACTTCCTGCCATCCAGGGGAGGAGGAGTTAGAGGAGCAAGTAGGGGATTCAGCCTCAGGCAGAGGTCCAGGAGACTTCAAGAGAGGAGCTGGAGCAGGAAAGCTACAAAGTGCAAGTATCTGTGGGATACATGCTGGGAGGAAGCCGAATTAGCTTCGAGGGTTAAGAATAGAGTAATAACTGCTCATTATTGTGTTGTGAAGCTTGTTAAACTAATATAATAGTCTCAATTATTTGGGTGATAACCAGGAGAAACTGAAAGACAAACACAGTTTGTAAAAATAACATTAACAAATGTGTCTTTAAACAAAGGCAAATTTGTTTCCAGTTTCATTTGTAACCTCATAATGAAATTCCCCGATAACTACAGAGGATTTATAGTCAGGACCCCATCAGATACACCCAAATCTGAAGTGTTTGAGTTTTTGTAAAGCAGAGTAGCAGCTGTATATATCTTGAATGCACACCTTCCTTATAAGTTAAATCGCTCTAGGCTGCTTATGATACCTAATACTCCGTTATGGTTGTTTGAAACATTACCATTTTGTAGCTCAGGCAGGTTTGGAACTCCTCCACAACCCAGCCTCTTGAGTTGCTGGGATTATTGGCTTTTACTACCACACAGCTTATTGAAGAGTATCGTCAAAAATGTGTATACATCTTGAATATAGACAAGTTTTTTCCTAAAATTTGAAGTCTGTGGTTGGTTCAGTGTGGCTCTTTAAATGTGATTTGCTGGGAAAAACTAGCATGGTAATTATAAAGATGTTTGTTTGATCACTAGTGACTATAGTCACTGCTATATGTTAGAGCCTCAGTTTGATGGGTGAAAGTTTCTACTCTAGACCAGCATTTTCTTACTGATCCACCCTCTTGCAACCACCATTTTGATATTCTCTTTATGAAAAATTAGATTTTTTAAGATTAGGATCTATGTTCAGCTGTTGAAATCCATGTTGTTTGAATGCATTGTAATATAGTGTGAGTAGTATGCATTTTATTCATTATCTGTTTGATTTAATTAGAAATTAGAAATTTAAACATAACCAGTTATTTGTATGCAGACAATAAATTCCTACTGTCTGTAATAATAAATGGTTGGCTTTACATAGGGTAGGAAGGAATGCTGGAGTTATGAGTTGAATTTTTATGTTCTCTGTTACAGTTTCAGATTGGAGAACTGGCAAATACCCTGACAAGTAAATTTGAATTCCTAGGGATTAACAGACAGTCCATCTCCAACTTTCACATGCTGCTCTTACAGACTGAGGTAATGCAGCTGGTTTTTATGTAAATGGCATTTTGGTTTTGGTTTCTGTTTGTTTGTTTACTTGTAACCATGGCTGACATGGAGCTTAAGATACAGAGCAGGATTGCCTCAACTCAGATCCTTCTGGCTCTGTCTCCAGAGTACGGAGATGAATGGCTGTGCAACTACACTCTGCCTATTACATTTCATGAAAGTTTTGTTTTTATTCATGTCTGTGTGCGCCATATGTGTTCAGATGACTAAAGAGGCCAGAAGATGATACCAAATACCTTGAAGCAGGAGTTACAGGCATTTGTGAGCTACCTGGCGTGGATGCTGCAAATCAACTTTAGGATTAACTGCCAAGTAATTCTTGAGCTCCTCTTTTGTTGTTAATGGATGTGTGGTGCTCATACATGTGTATTTGTGCGTGCCTGCAAGTGAAGATCTAGGCTGAACATGAGGAATTTTTCTCCACTGCACTTCACCGTACTCGTTGAGGCACCGCCTCTCAGTTGAATTCAAAGCTTGCTGATACAGTTGGTCTATCTGGCCAGCTTGCTCAGCTTGCCGTCTCCACTCTGCCTGTTTGACTACAGGGGAGCCATGGTGCTTGCCTGGCTTTATGTGGGATCTGGGGATCTTAACTCCTGCCCTGATACTTGCAGCAAGCACTTCAATCACCCAGCTGTCTCCCTAGCCCATAAATTGTGTTGAAGTGACATTCTGTGCTAAGAATGTGTTTTGTGGCAGGGCAGCAGTGGCGGTGCACACCTTCAGTCCCAGCACCCAGGAGGCAAGTGCAGGTGCATCTCAGAGTTTGAGGCCAGCCTACTCTACAGAGTGGATTCTGTGACAGCCAGGGCTGTAACAAAACAACAACAACAAAAGAAACACTAGTGTGAAAGCTAGATGACCTTCCTTGGATTCCCAGAACCCATAAGGTGGGAAAACTAACTCCATAGAGCTGTCCTTGAACCTCCAGTCATCGTATACTCACAGAAAAGACACACTCCTAAACTAAAGTAATACATACTTTTATGGGGTGGGGTTGGTACAGAGTCTATATGAAGTCCTGGCTGTCCTGGAGTGTTGACATATTTTTTTAAATCTATCTTAATGGAGTTCTTTACCTCTACCTCCATTCACCCGAGTCTATTACAACACCCCCAACACCAGGTAGGAGAGAAAGAGGGTTAGTGGAGAGGGGTGTGGTAGTTCTCTTTATCTTCTTCCTGCTGGTTAGGGTCATCAGGTTCTTTTGGGCCAGTCCAATCTTCGTTTTCAGGGTATCTCAGAATTCTTCTCTCCAAGCTTCATTAACCGCTACCAGGAGCAGCATGGCAGGCAGCAGCCTTCTTTCTCGGAGCTCCCTTGCCTCTCCCCTCTTCCTCTCCTTCTCCCCTCTTCTCTGTCTCGCCCTTCCTCATCCCCCTCTTCTCCCTGTGTCTCGGCTTTGTATTTATTTCTTCTCCAGAGTCCTTAGAATTAAACTATCTGCAGCTGGCAAAGAGTCCTTTTCAGAGCCTGCACAAGGCAAATAGTTTGCTGCTGTGGAAAATCTGAATAAGTTTCATATCCCACACCTGGGATTAAAATGAAACATGTTTACATAACATAACTGAGTTTTTAAAGACAACAAAACTTCACTACACTAGAGCTTCCTGTGTAAACAAGGCTGGCCTTGCTATCATCATACTTCTGAGATTAAAGGCATGTACCACTACTTCCAGCTTTAAATAAAATTTTTTAAAATGTGGGTTTTTTTTTTTTTTTTTTAACTTGGATTTCATATTTGAACTGTCAGTCCCACATAGTAACCCTGTTAAAACAAATACCACCTTAACAGACACACCTTTTAAATGAGATGCTCTTTCTTTGCATCCTTGGTCTGCTCTTCTGTTAGAGCATAGTGATACACAGTCTTGGAATCCCTTTTACCTCTGTTTGCTGACATAAGTCTTAATTCTTTGTTGATTCTAGACTCGAATTGCAGACTGGAGGGAAGGGGCTCTTAACGGAAATTACCTAAAACGAAAACTTCAGGATGCTGCAGAGCAACTAAAACAGTATGAAATAAACGCCACTCCTAAAGGCTGGTCCTGCCACTGGGACAGGTACGCACTCTTCTCCCCTATTCACCTTTGACCTTTGACATCTCAGACATGATTTGTGATCACCACCACCTGCCGCCATGACAGCCTGTCTGGAGACTGGGAGCAGCTGCCGTTAGCGGTGCTGGCAGACAAAGCACTGCAAGCAGAGTCTGGCCAGCCACACATTTGGAAAAACAAAAGCAATGTTTAAAAGTGTTCCATGTAACGGATTTTTTTCCAAGATTGGACAAAGCCGGTTTTTACTCTCCAGAGTGTTGCACGGAGTAGGGCGGGCTTGGGGGTTAAGCGCATGCGAGAGCTCTGTGCGCTTTACAGGACCTCTGGAAGCAACTACTCCTGATTAACCTCGGTGAAGTTAAGGAAAACTTCGTGACTGAAGATGTGAATGAAGAACAGGATTACTATCCTCTGCCAGCAGGTCAGATGAAAACATTTCTTTTTATATTTGGCTTTTCTTGATTTATTTATTTTTTTCGTTATTTGAAATCTTTGCTCTTTTATTTTTCAGCTCCCAGATCCTCTCCCTCTCTTTAGCTTTCACTGTGTTTGATACCAAGAATTTGAAATGAATTCCACGGTCCAAGAGGGGAAGAGTCACCTTTCACTTCGATGTTCTCTTCTTTGGAAGGGAAATTAGTGTTCTAGGCAATTGAGTCCCTTCATTAAGGAAACTTGGAACCCGGTTATGCATTGGCAAAAAAAAAAAAAAGAACAAAAGAAAAGAAATGATTTCTAAGTCATCTGTTGGAGAGGGCTAAGGGCTGTATTCACAGAGCTGCTGGCAGTGCAAATAGCTTTGAATTATCCTGGGTTCTCCATCCTCAATTGTCAAAGCTCTTTGTTGCCTTTGTGAATAGCAGTCCATAAGAAGAGGTTCGTCCCTGTGAGAGCAGACTGCTTGCTGTCCTGGGACAGGACCAAATGGAAGTGTCTCTGTAGGAGAACAGATTTTAAAACATGCATTTTCTTTCTTGTAATTTAGGGATCATAGACGATATTTCTATGTAAATGAACAGTCCGGCGAGTCTCAGTGGGAATTCCCAGATGGTGAGGAGGAAGAAGAAAGCCAAACACAGGAAGTTAGAGATGAGATTCTTCCTAAGCCGACTGTGAAAGACAAAACCTGCACTGATTCAAACTCTACAGAATGCTCTGAGAATTCCACAGGTAAGGCAGTTTATTCTATTCTGATTAAACAACAGTTTTAGGGAAAAGAGCATCGGTCTTTTTATTATAGGACAATTGTATAACATAAGAAAAGCATATGCTAATTGAAGCCCAACTTAAACTGAGAGAATGCATGAGCCACACTGAAAGGAATGACATTGATTATTAGTTGGAAAGCCTAGTAATGTATATCAGACTGTGCATCAAAATTAATAAAATACTCTTTTGATTCTCAAAGAGTTCATGTACATGTTCTGTGTACTTGGTTAATAATATACAAGTTTTATGTATCAGATAAACAATAATCCACATTAAACTTAAAAATAGAAGATAACCATACTTCTGTCGTGGCACAGAGAAAGTTTTAGAAACACAGAAACAGGAATGGTATGCAGAGGACTAGGTAGTTGGATTGTCCATATATATGTAGTAAAAATAAGGATTGTTCTTCATTTTATCCAGTTTAGTCTATTTATATTTTTGCCTCGTTTCTGAATTTCACAATTTTATGTATTCCTGGTACAAAGGAAGAAGGGCTATAAAAGTAGAATTTATTCTAGCAATCAGTGAAAATTGTCAGTGATATTTTTAGATGATGAGAAATGGGTAAAAGTTCCCATTTAAGATGATCCTAGAGGATTTGTAGTGGATTTTGAACTTTTTTTCCCTGCCTGCATGCACAAGCTGAGACCAGAGACCCACCCCCACCCCCCCTACATCTCATTCCTCTGAAAGCCATACCCATTATTTTTTGAAAGGCTTATTTTCCCTGAGACCTGGAAGTTCTTGATGAGGTTAGGTTCACTGACCGTCCAGTCCCAAGGATCCAGCTTCTCTGAGTCAGTGCTGCTGGAATCCAAGAGGGTACCGCCACATGTGCCTCTCCCCCTAAGACAGGGTCTTACGACGCAGTCTTCAGTGGTCCGGAGCTTGCTGTATAGACCAGGCCGTCCCCACACTCATAGAGATCTATCTGCCTCTGCCTCTCAGGTGCTCCGTGGCTGCGGCCACACCTAGATTTTTTGTTTTTAAAGCATGGTCACTAGGGACTGGCCTCGGGTTGTCAGGCTTGCACCGTATATGTTTTTGCACTTTGTGAGTGACTGCTAACTGGCACCTCAAAGGTCAGAAAAGGGTGTCAGATTCCTCAGATGATTGTGAGCTGCCTTGTAGGTGCTAGTTCTCACATCCAGGAAGAAATGAATGTGCAGGAAGACTATCCAGGACTCTTAGCCATCTCTTCGGGGTGTGCCCCCACCCCCATTTGAGTAACTGAATGGGCTTCCAAGCTCTATCCTGAAATCTAATTAACTCTTCAGAAGAGTCACATATGGACACTTTATAAAAGAAAATAAATTTTTCTCCTTCTTTGTTTTCCCTTCTTATCTGCCTCTCTTCCTTATTTCCTACTTTTTAGTGTTACTGGGAATTAAACTCAAGATTTGCACATATTCCTACCACTACTGGCTGTATTTCCAGATTGTTTTTGACCAGACACCACTTTGTAACCTAGGTTTTCATCTTAAACATATGATCCTCCTGCCTTGGCCTCCTGGGATTATAGGCTGGTACAATCAGGAGACTTGTGGCAAGAGCCTGTCTCAAGAAAAATAAATAAATAAAGACTGTTAGCAGTTTGTTACAGTGACATTTGAAGCAGGAAGAATATGGTTCTATATATAATGTAAAGTGTACTGGCGTGTCTCAGTGAAATGACTGACGTAATTCTGTCCTGTCCTAATGTCATTTTGTGCTTGCTGGGCCACTTCTTAGCCCTTCTACCCAACAGCCACATTCACATTGGCAACACTTCTGGGCCTGTTTGTGACCTTGGCTGTGGTTCAAACCTACTGTGTAGTGTCAGAAAGATGCTGCCAACTTGCGAAGAGAATAGATGTTGCTCTATAGGCTATTCTAAGTCTTTCTCTCATGTAGCCTCTTCCAGCACTGATGTTGTTATGGCTTTGTCTTTAAAACATTGTGCCCCTCATCTTCAGCACCAGACACTTGGCAGAGGTGCGAGCCACTCTTGGTCTGGCCGTTAATAAAGACCACAAAACTTTTAATTGGATTAATCAGCATGGTTGTCATATAGATCATTTTATTAGCACTCAAGAGACTGAGGCAGGAAGATTGGGAATTTGAGGGTAGCTTGGTGGAATACACACACACACACACACACACACACACACACACACTCTCACACACACTCACACACACTTCCAGTGCAAAAAGAAAAGGTGCTTTGTTTCTCGGCTTCTGTCAAAAAATTTGCAATCATGTCCCAAATGATTTTGTTAAAATTCTTAAGTAGTCTGGCTAATATCAGATTACTTAATGAAATGAAAATCCAGTGATTATAGCAATAATTAGAGTATAACAAGGGGAAAGAGTTTTATTCTATCACATTTCAGAAGTCTACTTTTGGTAGCCATGAGTGGCAGATGTTTCTAATAACAGTTTAGGCTTATTTTTTGTTTAGTAGTTAATGAACTGAGGCTTGATTTTGGTTCTGAGTAGATGGTTCCGTTCCTGACTACTTGACTGTCTTTGGTTTTTTGAGATAGACCCCAGACTGTTCTCAAACTCTATACAGACAAGAAGTATATGACCTGGGACTCGTGATCCTCCTGTCTATACCTCTTAGGTGCTGAGATCACAGGTATACACTACCACTGAGGTTCGTGACCGTGATGTCTCATTTTGTATATCCTTAATGAATTCTGTACAGTGTTGTGGCTTTTAAAAAACACTTTAATGTCAAGCATTAATCTGTTTTATCCTATTGAAGACAAACACAGTTGGTGCTATGTAATAAAAGGTGAACCTTGAGCCATTCTTATCTGAAAGCTTTTTTTTTTTATTCTTTTGAGACAGGATTTCTCTGTGTGTAGCTGTGTATCCTGGCTGTCCTTAGACTCACTTTGTAGATCAGGCTGGCCTCGAACTCACAGAGATCCACCTGCCTCTGCCTCTCTGAGTGCCAGGATTTACAGGCATACCCGTGGCTCTGAAAGCCATTCTTAGAGCAGAAGTTGAAACTGTAGAAGGGGAAACCATTGATAAAACTGATTTCTACATTCCTGATGAACTTAGTCTAAAGAAAATCCAAATCTTACATCAAGGCCAGGGGAATTTAAAAGCAATATTGTTCCCTTCTAAGGTTATAAAGATGATAAAATATATATGTTTTTTGTTTTTGTTTTGTTTTGGTTTTTTTGGCACAGCAGTGATTAAAACTGTTCTCTTTTGTTTGTTGGTTTTAGTTTTGGTTTTTCAAAACAGGGTTTCTCTGAATAAATAATCTTAGCTGTCCTAGACTTGATTGTAGACCAGGGTGGCCTCAAATTTACAGAGATCTACCTGTCTCTGCTTCCTGAGTTCTGGAATTAAAGGCGTATGCCACCATGCTCAGCTTTTGTTTCTGAAACAAGGTCTCACTATGTAGCTCTGGCAGTCTTAGAACTCACTGTGTAAATCAATAAGGCTGGCCTCAAACTTACAGAGATCAGTCTGCTTCTGCGTCCCAAGTGCTGAGATCAAAAGTGTATGCCATTACACCCACCCCTAAAACCATCTTTTATAAAAAGAAAAGTGTGGGTGCCATCAAAATGGCTCAGTGGGTAAAAGTGCTTACTGCCACGTCTGATGACCTGAATTTAGCCACCAGGACCCACATGCTGGAAGGAGAGAACTGACTTTTTCAATAGTAAATACACACACATGCAAAATACATAAAATGTAACTTAATTTTTTTTTTTTTTTTTAATTAGAGTCTGGAGATATTAGCACAGTAATAGTGTATTAGCATTGTGAGCCCCCAGGTTTAATTCCTAGTACCACCTAACAAACAAACAAAACAACAGAAAAGGTAATATGCCATAATGAGTCAAATAAAATAGAAAGGTTTACTTTATTTTTAGTCCTGGCTCATTGTTTTGGTGTATAGTAAGGATCAAGTCTCTGAAAGTGGGGTGATATCTCTTCATGGTGAGTAAAGTGACTAACTCTAAGTTAAGATAGCTGGAGGAAGCCAGGTATGATGGCGCATTCCATTAATACCAGCACTTGAGAGGCAGAGCAAGAGGGTCTCTTGAGTTCCAGGATAGCCAAGGCTACACAGAGAAACCTTGTCTAGTAAAAAACAAAAACCAAGACAGACAAACAAAAAACCCCAAAAGAATTATTTTATCAATGTTTGAGACACAAATTTTATGTTTGAGTAAATTTAGGAGCTTAGGTTACAAGTATTTGAATACTTACGTGTTGCTAAATTTATCAAGCTTGGTGTTTGTTGGGGGGGGGGGTAATGGGTGGTTGGGTGTGTGTTTGGTTTGTCTTGTTATTGTTTTTGTGTTTTTGGGAACAGGATCTAATGGATCCCAAGCTGGCCTGAAACTTGCTGTGTAGCTAAGAATGACTTTGAAGTCATAATCCTCCTGTTGTACCTCCCAAGTACTGGACTGGGGTCACAGATGTGTGTTACTGTGCCTGGTTTTATACAATGGGATGGAGTGTAGGGCTTTGTGCATGCTGGGCAAGCATACCATAACCTTCCCATCAAATGTAGATTAATTGAATAATACTTGTACAAGGTTTGGATGCCTGATTGCATTTGCTGGGTCACAGACCACTTTATTAACCCTGGCCTGCTGTGGTCCCTTGCATTTATTAATTAGCAACATATCACTGTTATAAAGGCGTGATACTTGAAGATGAGAAAACTGCCAGTATCATCAAGGCTGACACAGTTCATTAACCCAGTAGTATAGCTAATTTACTAGAAGAAATTTTAATTCCTTTTTTTTAATTTTTAAAAAAATTATTTTATTTTTATTACAGTTTATTCATTTTGTATCCCAGCTGTAGCCCCCTCACAAAAGTTTACTTTTTAATTTAATAGTCTTTAGTGTTTATTGCTTTATTTTATTGCCTTGGTGTTCTAGAAAAGTCTTGATATACTGTTTTATAATACAGGATTTCTAGCTATATACATACTCTTTTTAATCAAATCAGTCTTTTGAGATGTTTTCGTCTATAAGCTGGTATATAATTAAATCCGTGTTACTTGATGCCAATACAAGAAAAAAAGTCAATGAAGTCATAACAATTCTTTTAGCTGAAAACAGTATTCATGTTTTCTGGTAAATCCTCTTTTTAGTGTCCTTTAACAATAAGGAATGTTTCAGTAATTATAAAAAGTATTATGAATCATCTTAATGCTCTATACATTACCTGTCTGATCCTTTTTCAAAGCCACTCTGAAAGCCCTGTGTTGGCTTTTTGGTTTTACCTCATCAGGTGTCAAGTATGGCCTTCTCTCTTAACCTAGAGCCTTCCATAATAGATCCTTTATTTAATCCAATTCTGACAATAAATTTTGACGGGCAGTTTCATCTGGATGTTTACTTTCTCAGAAGTGAGATCTTCCTGTCTCTCAAGGTCTTAAACACCACCTTCACTAAGGATTCTAGTTATATAGTAAGCGCTAGGCTAGGAGTCAGGCCTGCCCCAGTAGCCTTAGCAGCGCAGGCCAGTCGGTTCCTGCCTGGCTTTCATCACCTCTGAAGTGAGGAAGCTGAAGTAGATGATTTCTCACGTTTCTTCTACTCCTAAATTCTATGATTTTTAGGGAGAAAATCCCCTCAACATTCCTGGGATCTATATCTAATAGTCCCAGATATTGTGAAACACCCTATTGACGATAAAGAGGGATGGGAAGGCTACAAGTAAGTATCTCCTCCTGTTTTCTCTCGCCTTTAAGGAAAACTTCACCCAGCAGGGAAGCTGCACTAGTCAGTGAGAGTAATTGTGAAGATCTCAGTTATTAGCATTTACTCTGACATTTTGTCTTAGAGTTCCCTTTTCTTATTACAGAAAGAAAAATTACCTTCCATTTGCAATTGTAATATACACAGATATAAAAGGAGAGTCCACAGTCGCTAGTATCTGTCAAATGAATTTTTAAAACTAGTAATCCAGTTTAATCAAAATAGAATTTTTCTTGTTTTAAATGGGTTTTTACTGTGGCATCCCCGCTTAACTAGCTCACTGAAGAGTAATAATAATATGGAATCAGTATTACAGATACATGATTCACTTCATTTTTGAAGACCTCAGAGAATTGCTGCCTTTTCATATGTTGAAATAAAAGATTGAAAAAGAAATTCTAGGGGCTGAACCTTTTAAGAACACATACTGCTTTGGCAGAGGACCTGAGCTTGGTTTTCAGCACCTACTTTGGGCAGCTCATACCTCTCTGAACACTACCCCTAAGGGGATCCAATGATTTAATGCCCTTTTCTGGTCTTAAAGGGCACACACAAACATATACCTGAACACACACACACACTTAAAAGTAAAATCAGTTTCCAAAATTACATATTTGGACGACTGAATTTCTCACTGTTCTGTGTTTATTTATAAATCTAGACCTAAAGAATGCAGCTAGCATACTAAAGCTAAGGGGCAGTTCTCTCAGCATCATATGTTAACCTATCTGTGGACGCAGTTTCTAAGTTGAACTGCCCAGTGTTTCAGTGACATCAGTGGCTAGCTATGAGTCAAATTTTGATTATGGGAGACATGGCTAGTTCCTCTGTTTGAAACTACTGTGCACATTTGTCCTGGTTGATACTGGTGTCTAGTGTTCTGGTCACATGAACATTAGCTGTGAAGGATTTGTCCTTTTTTTTTTCCCTGACTACTCTCTGTTTTCCAGGTTCTCTTTGTAAAGAATCGTTTTCTGGTCAAGTTTCTTCATCCCTAATGCCGCTTACTCCATTCTGGACCCTCCTCCAGTCAAATGTACCTGTGCTTCAACCTCCTTTACCCCTGGAAATGCCACCACCCCCCCCCCCCCCCCCCCAATCTCCTCCCCCTCCGCCTCCGCCTCCACCTCCGCCTCCACCTCTAGAAGATGGTGAGATTCAAGAAGTAGAAATGGAGGATGAGGGAAGTGAGGAGCCTCCTGCCCCAGGGACAGAGGAAGATACTCCATTGAAACCTTCAACACAGACCACACTTCTACCTAGCCAGGTAATGACTTCCTCGGCGTCCTGGGTGGTGATGGGGACTGAAGCATGACTGACATGCTTTACTCTAGAACAACATACTTTGTAGGGCCTGTAGTTCCTGACTGGAGTGTTTGTGTTTCAGAGTTCCATCGATCCGGCTACCTCTAGTCCTCCAGCCACTAAAGCAGTGAAGAGAAAGGCTGCAGAAATTAGTACTGCAGTGGTTCAGAGGTCAGCTACTATTGGTAGTTCTCCAGTTCTCTACAGCCAGGCAGCTATAGCTGCAGGTAAGCGTCATAATTAGAGGGGGTTTTCTTAATATTTCTCCTAGTTACTGAGAACTACCTTTATCCTTATCCTTACAAACAAAACCAAAAAAAGGTCAGGGTTTCATTATGTAGGTCCAGCTGGCCTGGAATTGATTTTGTAGCTCCTCCCAGGTGCTGCCATTTTAGGCATTCTCCATTATTCAAGTTCTACAAAATTGTTTTCTGTGTATGTACATATACAAGTTATTTTTATATTCAAGTACATTAATCTTTGTTCTAGGACTACACAAAGAAGCCTGTCTTAGAAAGAGGAGGAGACTAAATACTTTTCCCCACTGACTGTCTTGGCACTCGCTCTGTAGACCAGGCTAGCATTGAACTCAGATAGGTTGCCTGTCTCTGCCCCTCAAGTGCTGGGATGAAAGGTGTGCACCACCAGGTCCAGCTACAAAATTTAATATTTTGTTGCTAGCAAGTATGGCCTATTTTTAAGGAAAAAGCATATTGAAATACTTTTGTGATTTAACTTCTGGTTTTCCTCTTCCTTCTGTCCTGTTATAGTGCCCTTTTATAGTAATGTTTTACGTTTCCTTCGTTAGGTCACCAGACAATGGGGATTGCACACCAGCCTGTCGGGATGGCACACCAAGCAGTTTCAGTTAGCCATGCAGCAGCAGGAATGGGTCCTCAGGCCAGAGGGATGAGCCTGCAGTCAAATTACCTTGGACTAGCAGCAGCACCTGCAATTATGAATTACACTGAATGTGCTGTTCCCATTGGAGGGACCACTCCATCACTGCAGCCAGCTCAGGTTCGAGGAACCATGTCAGCACCTGCCGTTGTAGAACCACTACCACCTCCACCACCTCCACCCACACCTACGCCACCGCCGCCCCCACCAGCTCCCAAAGTGCCACCACCAGAGAAGACAAGAAAAGGAAAGAAAGATAAGGTGAGTCTTCCTTGCTTTTTGTTAATTAAAAAATAACTTGGATAATGATACATAGCAAAGTTAACCTTTGTTGTTTTTTTCGAGACAGGGTTTTTTGTTGTAGCTTCAGTGTAGATCAGGCTGTCCTTGAACTCACAGAGATCTACCTATCTGCCTCTGCCTGTCTGAGCACTAGGATTACAGGTGTGCACCACCGCACCTAGCTAAACATTTTATTTTTAAAGAAATAATAAATTAATTGCCAGGCAGTGTTGGTAAATGCCTTTAATCCCAGCACTTGGAAGACAGGGGCAGAAGGATTTCTTGTCTACACCATGAGTTGTCTACACCAGGAGTTCTAGTACAGCCAAGGCTACATAGTGAGACTCTGTCTTTAAAAAAATAGATTTATTTCGGTATGCGTGAGTGTTTTGCCTGTGTGTATATTTGCATACCATCTGTGTGCCTAGTACCCACGGAGCTTAGAAGATGGTAGCAGATTCCCAGAACTGAGGACACAGTGGTTGCAGGTCAGTTTTGGAATGAAGCCTAGGTCCTCTGAAGAGCATACTGCTGAGGGGTGCCTCTGTCCTCTTTCCCCAATTAAACACTTTAAAAAAAATACTTTATCTAGTTTCTTCTGTGTATGTGTATGTGCCTGTGTACACACAGGTACTTGCAGAGGCCAGAGAGAGCATTGGAGTTACTGGAACTGGAGGTACAGGTGGTTGAATACCCCTGATGTGAGTGCTGGAAACCAAACCCAGTTCCTCTACAAAGAACAGCGACTGCTCTTAACCATTGAGCATCTCTTCGTTCTCTCATTATGAAAGTTTTATCCATGTATTAATACATAATGTGTTTTGAGCATATTCACACATACTCACTACCTTGTTTGTTTTCCCACTGACCCTCTTTCTCCTCCCGCTGTCTACATTCTCTCTGTTTGTTGCCATCACCCCCATGCCCCAAATGTGTGCATGATGATGATGATGACCCAATGAATTTTAGTTTACAGGGACATAAGCACTTTACCAGTTCCTATACCACCAAAAATAATGTCTCTCTCTCCTCCATCAACCATTAACTGTATAACCCCTTAAGGAAGGGTGGGTCCCCATGAGCTCCTGCCTCCTTCCTGACAGGGAGTCATTGATAAGCCCAATCTTGTGTAGGCAAGATTTGCTACACAAATTTGCTGTGAGTTCAAGAGGGCAATAGCCATGTCATGCCGTAAGTCAGCGTTCTATACCACCTTCATATACACCACTTAATATTCTTTCTGCCAGGGGGTTGGGGATTTAGTTCAGTGGTAGAGCGCTTGCCTATGCAAGCACAGGCCCTGGGTTCAGTCCTCAGCTCTGGGGAAAAAAACAAAAAGACCTTTCTGTCAATTCCATGATACTTCGGAGTCTTGGAGTTTCTGGATGCATCCAATATAATATATCTTGATCTCCACTGTAAAGGATGTATTTCCTTGTTCAGGTCTTGCATTCCTCTGATCTATAACTTCGTTTTAGGCAAAGAAAAGTAAAACCAAAATGCCATCTTTGGTAAAGAAATGGCAGAGTATCCAGCGGGAGTTAGATGAAGAAGATAATTCAAGTTCCAGTGAAGAGGACCGGGAATCAACTGCACAGAAGCGAATCGAGGAATGGAAACAACAGCAGCTGGTCAGGTAAAGAAGGGCAGTTTGCAGTGGTTGTCTCAGAATAGTTATTCTTTTTCTTTTTTTAAAGATATATTTATTATGTATACAGTATTTGGCCTGCATGTGTGCCTGCAGGCCAGAAGAGGGCACCAAATCTCATTAGATGGTTGGGAGCCACCATGTGGTTGCTGGGAATTGAACTCAGCACCTCTGGAAGAGCAGCCAGTGCTCTTAACCTGTGAGCCATCTCTCCAGCCTACTAGTTACTTTCTTAAAAACAACAGTCCTTCATGAAGGATACATGGGTACTCAGCTGAGAAACTTGAAACATTTTCCTAAATAGGCGTGAGGTCCAATTTTCAGTTTCAGTTAAGAGTTTTTATTTCTAAAAAAGTTGGGTTCTCTTTTTTCCTATGAGATGATAACATGCATATTATTTTCACAGTGGCATGGCAGAACGGAACGCTAACTTTGAGGCCCTTCCTGAGGACTGGCGAGCAAGATTGAAAAGAAGGAAAATGGCTCCTAACACATAGTTTTTTTAAATTAGTTTGTTTTGTTTTATGCTCAGTCGTAGCCAGTTTTAAGCTGTTGTGAAACGGACTGTCAGTGTTATAAAGGAGAATGCATACATTTTTCCGGACAAGAGCACGTGTGCACAAAGTTGTCCACTTACGAAATGTAGCTTTTCTGTTTGCTGAAGATGACATGATTGGGATTGCTTTGACCTGGCTGTCTTTATTCTCATACTGGCAAAGTTAGCATGTTAGATAGGAGTCAAACATGTGAGTCACGGGGCATGAAACCTCTGTACAGGACTTGCTGGCAAAGTGAAGGGCTTGTAGTAGAGGCTTGTTTAGTTCCTAGCTTGGCACTCTCCCTACCTTCTACTCCAGAACAAGTGCAATTAAGAAGGCAGCTCCGTATCCTACCTTGCTTGACCATCAGGATCTCTTTCTGACCTCCTCCTCGTCTGCTGCCCCTCAGGTGTTGAGATCTGTGCTGATGGCCACACTTTGGAGTAGTTCTTTCTCAGACGTCCTAGAACACTCATTTTACATTAGGTGGCATATTTCACACAGGCAGGAGCAGCAGCAGGTGTTCAGATCCTTGATTTTGAGAAATCCCTCCCTAACTATGTGGCAGAAAGTATAATAAGCCACTTTGTGTATTGTCTTCTTTGTCTTCCCCCCTAAAAATTCAACTTCCTTCTATGTGTGGATATATTCTCCATAAAGTTCCAGTATTTAAGAAGCAGTTCACTGTTGTGTACTTTCTATTGTGTCACAATCAGGAAAGGTCACTATAAACTGAATAAAAAGCAAATTGTGTCTTAAAGCTGTTTGTATTTCTCCAGTTTCTGACATTGTAAATTTGTATATATGTACTAATAAAGCTCTTTTTATACTTGTGATTGGTTATCCTGTTGCTCTTCTAAGCATGTTACCCAACAGTGTATTAACCAGGAGTTAGTGTGTGTCCACTCTTTGAGTTGAAATCAGATATGGTTCAGAGCACACACTGACATTTGAACATGAGGAAAAAGCATCATCCTGGGGTAAAGGGAACAAAAGCAAAAAACCAGCCCTCTCTAGACAGGATGGTGCTATGTGTGACTGCAGCTTTGGAAGCTTGTATCCTGTTAGTGATAACAGCTGATATTTGACCTACTTCCTACTTAGGTCCTGGAAACAATGTAAGGTGGTCAACATTTTGGGGGGAAAGGTGCTTTATAGCTTTTTATAAGTAATACAAAGCTGATTATGGTAAGTCAATAGATACTTAAGATTATAATCATAATAGTTAACCAAAGATAATAGTTCAGATTTTATTCAAGTATATTCCTACGCAGTTAAAATTTTTTTAACTTGTATTACAGTGTATTAGATTTTATTTATCATGTGCTAATGTTGAGATGCCAGTTCTGTACATAATTGTTTTGTCATTTGCACAGAGTAAATTTTACAAATAAAGGTGATTAACTAGCTGGTAAGGCTTTTGTCTTAACTCGGTTTTCCGGGTGTGTAGGAGTTGCTGGAGAGCACCGGCCTCCTTAGTGTCCTGCATAGCTGAGCTCATGAGTGGATTGACCAGTGCTCTGTGTTTTGAATGTTTTGCCACACCTTTGTTGCTAACAAGGTTTTTGGGTTTTGTGTAAAAGAATTTTTTTTCATTATAGCTGGAAGGTAGAGAATAAAGAGTAAAAGTGTTCAGTATCTGATCTTGACCAGGGTGTTTGGAAGGAGGACATTCCAGTCTGCGAATCTGGCCTGTCGCAAACAGCTAATGTGAAAGAGTGTGGCCACAGGTTTTATGAAGTGAATCACTTAAATTTTGTTTGCGGATATTTGCCCCCATGTACATCTGCACACCAGAAGAGGAATCCCATAGGACTACAGCTGTGAGCTGCCACGTGGGTGCTGGGAGAGTTGAACTCAGGAAGAGCGGGTCAGTGCTCTTAACTGCTGAGCCATCTCTCCAGCCCTGAGGAGATTCGCTCTAAAGATAGCACGTCTTTACTTTCAGACAGTAGATTCGTTTGCTCTCTGAAGACTTAACATAACACAAGTTCTTGAACAGGTTTCAAAATGTAACTGCGGGGCTGGAGAAAAAGCGGTTCTTCCAGATGGGCCAAGTTTGGTTTCCATTACCCACGTCAGGAACTCAGTAGTAGTCCAGCTGTGGGGAGATCTCTGACCTCTGCAGACACTCATGTGCACATAGAAGCACATATATTAACATTTTTTAAATAAGGGCTGGTTTGCATAACAAGTTTGCGTTTGCCTGGCACCCGAGTTAGTCCATGGAACTCTCACAAAAGTGGAAGGAAAGAAGTGACTCCACAAAGTTCTTTGACCTCTAGATGTGCCTACATTAGTCTTTCAAAAGTAACGCAATCATGTAAAAAAAAGGGGGGGGGGCGGGGAAGGTGGCTCAGGAATTAAAAAGCTCTTTCTGCTCACAATTGCAGGTAACTAGCTCCCTGGGGATCTAGAGACTTCTGTCCTAGAAGTCTCTAGAGGAAGGGGAAAGGGGAAAGGACGAGATTTTAAATTTGTCAAAGGGAGAAGAAATGATGTGAACTGGAAGGAGCCTGATTACTTCCTTTTAGGCCTGTCTGCTTTTCCTTTTTAAATAAGGCTTGCTTGGTACAGCTCCACCCCTCCTCACCCCCCAAAAGAAAGGACGCTTCAGCCCGCTTGAACAGAGTAAATTATCTAAAACTGTGCAAGCTAGAAAAGAGGCTGAAGGGTCCCAGACTGGGTCTGTAAAGTCCGAGATGAATAAATCGGTGTGTGAAACACAAGTTGCCCTGACACCCCAGGGCTCGCAGCAGACGGATGAGGGCGGGGTCCTGCCCGCCTTCCGCTTCGGACTCCCGGTTGCTAGGCTCCCAGCGTAGGAGCAGAAAGCTCCAGCTGGAGAGCTGAGGGTCTGGGCCCGCCAAGGAGCCGAGGCGGGAAGTAGCCGAGGAGGGTAGGGGTGAGGAGGGCAGGGTGTTCAGGAGCCTTAGAGGGTGGACTCCGGGCTGGCCTCTGGGGAAAGAGTGGGAGGGTCGGGGTCGGGGGAGCTCCTGCGGCATCCACCCCGGCTGGGGACCAGGTAGGGGGCGGAGAGGGGAGCCTAGGGAGCCCGGTGTCGCCCCGCAGGCCCTGGTGGAAACTTCGCCCTCCCGTGGCCTCCTCCCCGCCCCCCGGGCAGTCCACACCTCCGGGACAGGGCGCTCAGAACTGAACGTTTCCAGGGCCTTCACTGCCGACCCCTGACCTTTCCTTTTCAACTGCTCTGAGACGACCCTGCGCGAGGCCGGAAGCCGGCTCCTTTCCCTTTTATGTGGCGTCCTGGTGTCGGGCATCTCTTGTCAGCGTAAGCTTAGCATGGGGCCAGCGAGGGTCCTGGTGAGTCTGGAGGACCAGGCGAGGGGATGCGCGGAGCGCCGGGACTGCTCAGGTGCGTCCTGGGAACCGCTGCCTGCTCCTTTCTCAGAGGCTCGGTTGGCAAGGGTTTCCCCAAAGTCCAGTGGCTGCGGGTGTGAAAGAGCAAGACCCGCACATTGTGTTCTTGGTAGTGGTGTTGGTTGGTTGGGTTTCTTTTCGCTTTTCCTAAGGTGATTTGTAGCTCCTGTGTAAACCTTTTACCTTTTTGGAAATTAGGCAGAGGTTGCAGCTGGGTGTGGTGCTACTGACTCGCCTACATTCTATGCGGCAGTGACATGTTTCCGGCGTTGGAAACAGAGCTAAAGCAGGAGGTCGGTACACTTCACAGAAACCCAACAGGTTTATTGTGGGGGCATGCTGGCCCAGCTGGAGGTCCATGTTGTGGTTGGCTTTTGGGGAGGAAGGATGGGTAATAGGACCTCTCTGTGTAGTCCGGGTTGGCCTGGAACTCACTCTGTTGCTCAGACTAGCCTTGAACTTGCCATACTCATCCTGCCTCTGCTTCCCTAGTGCTGGAATTACTAGCGTGCACCACCAGACCTGCTGGAGTTATGACTCCCAAGATAGAACAATATTTGCACGGATTTCACTTATTTTGTGACCCTATCCTACGCAGCATGCTTGGCTTTATGTTGTTGTTGTTAAAAACTCAGTGTCGTCGTCTGAATGAGATGTTCTGCTGAGAATGCCTTTTCTTTCAGACTCTTCCTGATCCCTATGAGGATTTTATGTGCCATCACCTCCAGTATTATGGATACTTTAAAGGTAATATTTCCTTCTTTCCCAGCACCACCAAGTTGAATTGTTGCATTACCTGAAATGATGCCAACTGTGTGGATAAGACTGCGTGAATAATTTTTCTAGTTGGTTAGTTGAAAAGCACTTCCTATCCCCATTGAGCTGTGTCACCTCTGTCAAAGGACAGGCTCAGTATATATACATATGTGTGTGTGTGTGTTTTGTGTGTGTGTGTGTGTAGTTTATTGGCCTGTTTTTCTACTGGGGCACCAGTAACTACCATCTCTTAATTGCTCTATGACACTAAACCCATTTCTATTTTAGATGAGTCTTAACTATTGTAGCCCAGGCTGATGAGGAACTCACTATCCTGTCTTAGCATCTTCCTCCACTATGCCCAGCTTTTGTAGTCTTGATATCTGGACGTCATTTCTCCCCTGCCTTCCTCTTACCTCCCTTTCTTCTTATTCCCCCCGCCCCATTGTTCTAGACATTGAACCTATGTTCAATACAGTGTGCAGCAAATCAGCTAAGTCCTCTTTATGTAAATTTTAAAATTAATCTGAGACATTAAAAAAAATCATTAGGCCCTGGCATGGTGGAAGTTGCCTGTAATCCCAGCACTCAGAAGGCAGAGGCAGGTGGATCTCTGTAAGTTTGAGGATGCCTGGTCTACAGAGTGAGTTCCAGGACAGCCAAGACTACACAGAGAAACCCTGTCTCAGAAAAACAAACAAAAACAAAATAACAACAAAAAAATCATTAGGGACTGGTGTAAAATCATTGGGGGGGGGGGGTGTAGCTCAGTAGTAGAACAAATTTCTACCATTACCCAGGGGATGCATTCAATGTTCAATCCCCAGCACCTTGAAATATTTTGTTTTTATTTATTTTTTATTTACTTGGTTTTGGTTTTTTTTTTTGTGACAAGTCTGTGTATACCAGGTCTATCTTAAATGTACTAGGTACCCCTTACTGACATTTTTGTTGTTGTTGTTGTTGTTGTTTAAAGCAGAGTTGTAGTTTATTAGGAAAAATGTTTTGTTTTTTAAAGAGATTTATTGTTTTAACTTTTAGTTGTGTGTGTGTGCATATATGTTTGTGTATGCACATGTGTGTGTAAGTGCCCAAAGAGGCCAGAAGAGGGTGTGGAATCCCCTGGAGCTTGAGTTACAGGTGGCTGTGAGACGTGCGATGTTGGTGCTAGAAAGAGAACTCTGGGTCTTCTAGAAAAACGCAGCAAGTGCTTGTAAGTGCTGAGCCATCCATTGCCCAAAGTTTTAATTTAAAAACTATTGGGGCAGGCTGGAGAGATGGCTCAGAGATTAAGAGCCCTGGCTGCTCTTCCAGAGGTCCTGAGTTCAATTCCCAGCAACCACATGATGGCTCACAACCATCTGTACGGAGACCTGGTGCCCTCTTCTGGTGTGCAGGTAGAACACTGTATACATAATAAATAAATTAAAAAAAAAAAAAACTATTGGGGCCCTCAAGTGAGGCCCTGGTGGCACATGCCTTTAACCCAGTACTCAGGAGGCAGAGGCAGGCAGAGCTTTGTGAGTCTGAGGCCAGCCTGGTCTACAGAGTTCCACAACAGTTAGGGCTACACAGAGAGACCCTGATGTAAAAAACAAACAAAACAAAAACATTTAAAATATGTATTTATTTTATTCAGTCAGCTGCAGGAGGACCAAAATTCATGGTTGTCCTCAGTTACATAGTGAGTTGGAAGCCAGCCTGGTCTACATGAGCTCCTCTTTCAAAAAAGTGGGGGTGAGGGTAAGGAGATCGCTCAGGGATTAAAGTGTTTGCTACTAAAATGTGAGGACTGGAGTTTGGATCCCCAGAAACCAGCGTAAATGCTGGATGGGCTGATGGCCCACCTGCAGTCCCAGCATTGGAAGGCAGAGCCGGGATTCCCAGAGCAAGATGGCCAGCAAGGCTTAAAGATAGCATCAGGCTCTGCACCTAGTTGTGAAATCCTGTTTAGTGAATACTGTAGAACAATTGCAGACAATTCCCAATGTCAACCTTATGCTTCTACTTCCATGTGCATATGTCCCTACACACTTGCAGAAACATGGAATCTGAGGCCAGCCTGGGCCTCAGATAGCAAGCTAGAGGACTACACGGTTTAAAAACCCCGTCTCAGCAGACAAACAACATTTATTAGAATTGGATTAAACACGTAGATTCAATCAAATTTTATAAGAAATGATAAATTTTGCCATACATGGTGGTACATGCCTTTAATTCCAGCATAGTCCGCATGGTGAGTTTCAGGACATCCAGGGCTACATAACAGGGATCCCTTGGAACTAGAGTCAAGGATGGTTGTGAGACACCGAGTAAGTGATGGAAATCAACTGGGGTCCTCTGAAAGAGAAGCAGGCACTTTCAAAACTTCTGGGCCATCTCACCAGCCCGCTGTGTCATTGTTTTAAGACAAAATCCTGCCTTGCACATGTTATGTGGGTGTTCTGCCACTGAGCTAGTCTTGCCAAGTAGTCCAGCTGGCTTCAGACTTGCAGTCCTGCTACCTGTGTCTACTCACAATGGCCAGCAACCTCGTTCCACATTATTATTAACAATTTCTACTTTATTATTTTTTGACGAGAGAACTTCAGTTTGTCAGATTCAATAAGTATCCTTAGGACAAAATGACTTTTGAAGCTGGGTCACGGTGGCACATGCATTTAATCCCAGCACTTGGAAGGCAGAGGCAGGCAGATCTCTTTGAATTTGAGGACCTGGCCGACATTGTGAGTTCCAGGAGCTACAGAGTAAGACCCATATTTAAAAAAAAAAATATGCTTTTGGCACAATACTTTGCTCCCACTCTGGTACCTGCTTTCACTTGGGTTTGGCCCTCTTAGCTCTTAGAGACACTAGTTTTTTGCCCTCTAAGCCCTTTATTCCATTATACCATGGTGTTAATCTTTCCCATCTTGTCAAATGGGAATAATTATTCTCTCTCTGCACAAATTGGAATGTGGAAGATTTTTAAAAATGGGATGTGTTTTTATAAAAGTCTGTAATGGACAGTGGTAATGAAGGTAGTGGTTTGAGTGGTTGGGATTTTAATATTAACCTCAGCACTAGAGATACTGAAACAACTTACATGCAACTTTAACTAAACCACTTATTCTTAGCTCAGAAAAGCAATCTACCAAACTCTGCTACCCATCAGCGTGTTTGGAAGACGAGCCCTCGGTACAAGTTGAATGGCTCTTTTGGAGAAAGAGATGATTTCATCTCGGACACACTGGAAAAAGAGGCGTTTCTATGTGAGTAATAACCAGCCTGAGTGGCACCTGCTCCAGCTACCTACCAGAGCCTTACTGCCTTGAGAACCCCAGGAGCTCCAGAGAACATGACTTGATGTGGGAGAAACCAAGCAGCCAAATTTGGCTCCTGGTTTGTTTGTTTGTTGGGGGTGCTGTTTGCTTGGGTCTTTTTTTATGTGTGTGTGTGTGTGTGTGTGTGTGTGTAGGCATACCACAAACATACCATGCATGTAGAGGTTAAGTTTTGGGGAGTTGATTCTTTCCTGCCATGTGTGTTCTGGGGATCACACTCAGGCCTTTACCTTCTGAGCTATCTCACCAGCTCTAAAAATGTGCTATAAATTGTCTTGGTTTATAGCTTTAAATTAAAATACTGTACATTCTGGGTTTCCTTCCTCAAATTTTTTGAAAATCTGTTAAGACTCTCATGAAAAGAACACATTGTTTTTCTCATTAAATTGTTGTTGAGTATAAATAATTAAGGTGTTTTGCTTAACAGCAGAGGAAACTGTTTTTGTGCTTTTTTTTTTCCTGCCCCCATAGCTCCCTGGAAGTAATGACTCAAGAGACTCAACATGTTATTTACAAGTACCTAGGCCATATAGCAAGGCTCTTCTCTGACTGGCTCATAACTTAAAATAACCCGTTTATACTAATTTACATTCTGCTACATGGCTGATTACCTGGGCTCACATTTTGCCTGCTGAATCTCGAGCACCTGGCTCTATCCCAGAATCCTCTCTGTCTACTGAATATCCCACCTCCTGTTTCCTGCCTAAGCTATCGGCCATCCGGTTTATTATTGGCAGGTGCTACATCCGTACAATACACAGCATCCTTCTATAACACTCTCCCCCCCTGCACTCAACAAAAATCTTTTTTAAATAATTTATTATTTTTAAATTACGTGTGTGTGTGTGTGTGTGTGTGTTGCGTGGGTATGTCCACATGAGTGCCCCTGAGACCAGGATACCCTAGAGCTGCAGTTCCAGGAAGCTGTGAGCTCCCCTGCCCATCCAGCTGGAAACTGAGCCCCAGTCCACCACAAGAGCAGCAAGACTTTCAGTCCCTGAACCATCCCTCCAGCCTCTGGTTTTCTTTTAAATCACTTTGCTACCTTTCCAAATGTTGTCTCCCCCATTATTTATTGGGTAAAGATTTATATAGAAATTCAGGGGCCCGGTGTGGGGATGAAAAGCAAAAAGAGATGGGGAGAGAAGCAAATGGTACTTCTTTCTTTCTTTCTTTCTTTCTTTCTTTCTTTCTTTCTTTCTTTCTTTCTTTCTTTCTTTCTTTCTTTCTTTCT